TAGAGGAGGGGTGCTGGGGCTCTGGAGTGGTCAGTTTGCATATGGAAGCCTAGCTCACAGGTAAGTTCTTTCCCATCTCTAGAAATTGGTGAACGCTGGGAGGGGCAGTGTCTCTAGGGTCAGATGTTAAGGCGTCAAAATAGAGAAAATAAAAAATAATAAAAAATAAAATAATAGTACATAGAGGTAAACAAAACTCAAAGCATGTGGGATCAAGGTCTGTGGCGCAGGGTTCTTTAAAAAGATACAGGGGAAAGAAGAATCTGAGTTGCATGTGCAGACTGTTGCTCAGTAGGTTCCGTCTATATGGTGGGAAAGGAAATGTATCACACCCACTGTAGCCAGAGTCCTGGAGTTAAATCTCTTTGATGCGTGTCCATTATGGAAATACTGCCTACAATTCATTTCAACAGGCATTAATCAAGTACCTACCCTCTGCCAGGTCTATGCACAGAGCCCTGAGGCAAGTGCAGATGAGTAAAATGGGATCCTTGCTTGCCAGGACAGCCTGGTGAATATGGGGTACGTGCACGCTGAACTTCCTCCTTAGTTCGTGCCCATAGCAGACATCACTAATCATGCACAGCACTCTCTTCCGCCCAGTCCAGCCAGACTCGTCTTAAGAGTCCTCCACTGCACAGTACAGTGGTTGGAGGGGGGGCACTCATCGAAGCTTTTGTCTGTCACCCTGGCTCCAGGGACCCTCAGGGCATGGGGGAGGGATGGTGCTGGAGGAGAGAAAGAAGGGAAAGTCTCATCAACTCACATGTGACAAAGACAAGAAATGCTCTGGGGGAAGGGAAAAATCACACCTGCTTCCAGGGGATCACAGCTGACTTCATGGAAGTGATAGGATTGGTGCCTGGTCTTAAAGGGCTTTGCTCCTGGCCTGGCACAGGAGTGAGGGCTCCGCCGCAGAGGGGCTGGCTGTTCCCTGAAAGGCGTGAGGCAGGAGGTATGGGTGTGCTCTGAGGAACAGTGAGCAGGGGGGTATCAGTGGGGCTATAGGAACGTTTCTCTCGAGGCAGAGGGACGTGTTGGAGCCTTTAGTTGAGGCCCTGAATCCTGGGCTGGAATGTGCAGACCGAGTTCTGGAAAGTGGGGGACGTCTGGCCACTGCAGGATCAGAGCAGCTTCCAGAAGCGGAGCAGGGCAGTGCAGAGCAGGTTAGAGCTGGGAGAGCTTGCGGCAGGCAGGGAGGCTAGTCAGGAGGCCGTGGCTGGTGAAACCCAAAAGGGGCCTCCCCCCTCCCCGCCCCCGCAAGCGACCGATTCAGGAGGCTGTGCCTCTGGAAATCCAGAAGGAATCGGGGATCAGCTAGCTGTAGGGACAAATTAAAGTCAAAGACAACAGTGCTGTTTGGGCCTGAATGATTTGGAAAGACGATGGGGCCATGGAGCGCCATGTGGAACCCAGGAGGAGAGCCAGTCTGGAAGCAGTTTTAGGAGCCAAGGGACAATCGGGAATCTTTCGGACCAGGGGCTGTCAAAACAGATCTGCAGCTCTGGAAAGAGCCGGGAGCCAGAGACTGTGTAGCTAGGAGACATCTACACTAGGAGGAGAGCCAGAGCATGGGAGCCACGGACAAGAACAAGGGCGAGCTGGGGAAGTGCCCGGGGCCTCCTGCACGTAATCCGTAGAAAGGATAGGCAGATACTGTAATGCTCAATAACAGGAGCTAACTCCCGAATAAGCGGACTGAGCAGAAATCCAGAAATAGACTAGATTCAAGTGAAAATGGAACTGTCGCGTATGACAAGGATGACCTCACAATTCAGTGAAGTAATGACTTCAGGACTTTTGTTAAGACAGTTAAGACCCATCTGCATTTTGCAACTCAATAGAAGTGATGGTTGCACAATATTGTCAGTGTCCTTCAGGCCACTGAGCTGGACGCTTAGAAGCGATGCATGTAGTTTTGGGTTATGTACATGTTGCCACAAAAAAAGAAATGAAACCATACAAGAACTCACAACATATGACTGTCGACACCCTTTGGAACCCTGAAGTGGAGAAAGCCTTTATAACCAAGAATCAAAATTCAGAAGCCATAAAAAGAAAGGATTTATTATTTGGCTATTTAAAAGTAAGAATCGTCTGCACAGCTAACCACAACATGAGTGAAGTTAAAGGACAAAAAAAACAACTAATATAGAAGAAGCTCTTAAATATCAAGACAAAATGCAAGACAGAAAAAAATAAGCAAGGACATGAATTCTCAGTTCACCACAAAAGAAATACAACTGGCTCTTGAAAAATGAGATGTTCAAACTATACTTTCTCCCCTATCTTATGGGTAAAAACCCAAACGCCAGTCGACGCGCTTTGTTGGTAAGGCTGAGAGAGACGGCCTTCTCCCGTACCTGGGTGATCAAGTCAAGACTGGATAGCCCATGTGGAGGGGAATTTGGCAGAAACTACCTAAGTGACACGGGCACGTACCTTTCAACCAAGCAATCCGGTATCTAGACATATACCCTGAGGGCACCCCTTCACCAAAGTGAATTAGAACACCCCCAGGCTATTTATTACAGCCAGCTGTTTAATAAACAAGAGATTGGCCAGCACACAATTTTTCAACGAGAGACTGCTTGCAGAAACTTCCATTCACTCATGCAAAGGGATACCACGCATTGCAACGTATTTTTGCAAAAAAGAAATGCTTTGAGAGAAAACCAGAAAATAATTAAAATGGTTAACCATAGGGAGCACGAGAGGACAGGTAGAGTAGATAGGCATAGAAGTAAGACTTCAGGGGTGCCTGGCTGGCTCAGTCGTTAGGCGTCTGCCTTCGTTCGGCTCAGGTCATGATCCTAGGGTGCTGGGGTGGAGCCCTGCGTCGGGCTTCCTGCTCAGCAGGAAGCCTGCTTCTCCCTCTCCCACGCCACCTGCTTGTGTTCCCTCTCTCGCTGTGTCTCTCTCTGTCAAATAAATAAATAAAATCTTTAAAAAAAAAAAAAAAGAAGAAGTAAGACTTCATTGGATGAATCTTTTTATAAATTTCTAACTGTTGTACCAGGTCAATGTGTATCTATTCAGAAAAGAAAATTGAAAAGCAAAACTTATAGCTGGAAACAAATTTATTTTGAAATTAACAAATCTAATTATATATCAAATTAGTAACATAAGCATACAGAGGAAATAATTATGACGTATTTGCAATAACTTGAACTTTAAGCACAGGACTGTGGCATATCATTACTGAACTATATTCTAAGGATGGGGGGCAGAGAGAACGGGGAATTATTGTGGAATGGGTGTATTAGTCCGCTCTAGCTGCCATGACAAAGCACCATAGATGGGGCAGCTTGAACAACAGACATTTATTTTCTCAAACATCTGGAGGCTGGAAGCCCAAGATTGAGGTTTTGGCAGGGCTGGTTTCTTCCGAGTCCTCTCTCCTTGGCTTGCAGATGGCTACCTTCGGTGTCCTCACATGGTCTTTCCCCTGTGCATGCCCTTGATGTCCCGTGTCCTAATCTCCTCCGCCTATAAGGATAGCAGTAGGATAGGGTTAAGACCCACCAGAATGGCCTCATTTTAATTAAATCACCTCCTTGAAGGCCCTGTCTCCAAATGCAGTCCCATTCTGAGCTACAGGGTCTCGGACTTCAACGTAAGAATTTGGGGGTGGTGGGGGACACAATTCAGACCATAACCAAGGCGTATGGAGTTTCAATTTGGGAAAGTTCTGGACGTGGATGGTGGTGATAGCAGCACAGCACCGTGAATGTACTCAAGCCCACTGATCTGTATGCTAAAAAGTAGTTGAGATGGTAAATTTGGTATTATGTGTATTTTACCACAATAGAAAAATAAAAATAAATTTAAGGAGGGAAAAAACCCTCAGGGGTCGAGGGAGCAGAGGGTGCCATTGAGAAGGTGACAGCTGGTGGGCACTGGGCACCATGTGACTGTCAGAGAGGTGGCAGGGTGGGGGCGGGGCGCATGGCGGGCAGCAGGACAGTAGGGAACTGGAGCTTGCCCTCTGCCCAGTGACCTGAATTTGAGGTGCGGGCAGCCTGTCAGTTCTAGGCAGTAAATCCTTACCCTTTCTATCTGTTGCCATCATTATTTCCGTGACATCTGCTCCCCGCCCCCGCAGACGTGTCAGGAAGGGTTTGGGCAGATACCCTGGCTGCGTGGCCCCTCTTCTCTGGGAGCTCTTTCTTTTTTGTGATTTTCAAACAGTCGCGTGAGCTGCTTGCTGCCTGAATAAGGAAGCTGCAGCCGCCAGCACGCTGTTTCTATAGCGACTGATGTCCTTCAGAGAGGGAAAACGTGGAGAGACCCTAAGAAAAGAACAAGGGGAAATGAACAGCACAGAAATGCGACAGATCATAAAATCCAGGAGGAATACGCGGTGACCTAGTTTTATCGCAGCTTCATTGAGACTTCTGGCAAACACACTTGATTATTTTATCTCATTCTGTGTTTGTCAGATTGTCATCACTGAAAGCTGTAAAGTGAGGTGACAGGATGCAACACTTTACCTGGTGAAAGGCAAAAAAAACAAAAAACAAAAACAAACCCAAAACAAACAAACAAACAACAACAAAAAAAGAAACACAACCGTGAGGATTAAGGAGCTGGGGAAACCCCCAGAAAATTCTGAGTCCTGTCAATTTCACTCCCGGCCACTGGTAGAAAATCAGGCCTGGTGAGACTCTGTGCACCTGTCCTTCCTTCCTTGGAAACAGCCACAAGGAAAGCATCCTGGCTGCGTGAATAGGCTTTGCAACATTTACCTCCTGGCTTATCACTTCCCGGCTGTGTGGTCTTGGGCAGGCTCCTTAACCAGTCTGTGCTTCGACTTCCGAAGCTGTAAAACCGGAAGAGAATTCCCACGAGGGAGAGTGGTTGGAAAGAGAGGATTCCATGGGATGATACATTCGGGTCCTCAGTCAAGAGTGGCGGGTAATTGCGGCGGGGAAACCACTGAGCTTGTGCAGTGGATAGCCTCCCGGTAACTGCAGGTCTCTCATCTCCGTCCCTTCCAGTTGGCCACGGACAGAGCGAAGGAGAGAGAATGGTAGTGTCTGACTTCCAAGTTTTCATCAGGGACGTGTTACAGCACGTGGATACCATGCAGAAAAACTACCCAGGGCTTCCTGTCTTCCTTCTGGGCCACTCCATGGTAAGTAGACCACCGAAGACCCTGCCCAAATCAAGCCCGGTCCCCAGCCTCACTGTGGGTAGGAGGTGTGAGAACCCCGTGATGAAGGAGAGGGGCTCTCCACCCCATCCGCTCTCTGCCTTGCTGGCACATCCCCCTCTGCGTGCCCTGTCCTTGGAGCTCCGGGGCAGTTTAATGCTCGGGACAAGCCGGGTTCAGCGTCCTGGAGACAGCCCCAGAGGGGGCTTCCCATCGGGGCCCAAGGCGCCAGGAGGCTGCCTGCCCGTCCTTCCTGAGGACCTCCGGTGGGGGGCGTCTTAGGAAACCAATCTTTTTTTTCAAGCTCTGTTAGCCCCTCCATGCCATTTCATAGTGAGGCTCCCAAGGGCACTTCTCCCTGCAGAGCCATTTCTCAGAGCGGGGACGGCTTTCAGTCAGCAAGAAGCCCAGGGAAAGTGCCCAAACCCTGGGTGCTTGCTCCCGCTTGTACAGTACAAATGGGAACTGGGGATACAGTCTCTCCCAGGGAAACAATTCCTAAAAGTCATTCAAAATCTTTTCCACCTTTTAAATGTATACGATCCCCTAAGAATCAACCAAGTATAATCTTTAAATCCACGACCCGCAAATTGGTGGCACATCTACCCCCGGACAACCTGACAGGTTGGCTGGCAGAGAATTTTGAACTGATGAAATGTGAAGGTGGGGTGCAGCGGGGGACTTTTCACTCTGGGGCAGGGCTTCCGCCCCCTTTATCGCAGCCTGTCTTGCTTCCTGTGTTTTTCTCTTACCTGCCCGGCCTCTGTAAGCCTTTGTGATTTCAACACTGGCTTCCAACTACCCTCAGCTTCAGGCCCCCAATCAAGGCCTCATGCTTCCAGCACCATCCATGCTCATTAAGTATTTTTCTTGGAACTGAAATTTCTGGGACATTGACCGAACCAGGGGAAAAAAAAAAGAAAAGTAGAGCGATCTCTTATAATCTGATTACAAAAACAAAAATCTCATATTAAGGCTGACGGAATGGATGCATTGGGGGTCTGCCAGCTTTTGGCTTGAAATGAAGTAGGAATGTGTTGTTTAACTTGCAGCCCACAAGCAGGAACCTTATTTATATCTCTCTGAAATGTTTGCTCTTGGAAAACCCAGAGGAAAAAAACATGTGTAATAAAATAATTGCAGATCTAGTTTATCCAACATTTCATGGTGTCTATTCCAAGGTAGACCTCCCCGGGGCTCCGGGCCAGGCCTGCAGCTCGGAGGAGTGTGTTGATGGTGCTTATTAGAAATACGTGTGCTGGTGGAAGCCAGCACCCAGCAACCCTGGCCTGTTTTTGCTTTGCAGGGAGGTGCCATCACCATCCTCACGGCCGTGGAGAGGCCAAGCCACTTCTCCGGCATGGTCCTCATTTCACCTTTGGTTCTTGCCAGTCCTGAGTCTGCAACAACTTTCAAGGTAAACGGACTTCCGGTTCTGGGCGAGTCCTGGAGTGCCTGGGACCTGGGGCGTCCACAAGGACATCCTTTTATAGCTAGAGTCTGGGGGAAAGGGTCAAAGTCTGTTTTTGGACTTTCATGCATTACTGTGTGAAGGTTTGGACAAATATCAAACATTGTTGCCACTGGGGTTCCATAATTTCTAAAGTCAGGTGTGTTTTGTTCTTTAGAGATGAAAGAAGAATCATTTCCTGTCTGTGCTTGTTTTATTGGTGAAAGTTAAACAGGGAAAAGGTGACACGGGCTAGGAATCCAGCAAAATAACCTTTGTTAACAATCTGTGTTCAGGGCCTGGGCTGATTTTCATTGAATATTTGCCAGCTTGAGCCAAAAGTGCCCAATGAGTGGAACTGCAGGCAATTTGTAATGGTGACATGGAGGCGAACTCACGGCAGCTCTGCTCTGGCCCAGAGCACTTTTCCCTCTGACTCTAGGGATGCATCCCCTTGTTTTAGCCATCATTTTGTTGTCCCGGTTATACTGGTATGCAGTGGCATGCGTGTCCATTCTCTTGGCTCTGGAACTTCGAGCTCCTTGGACATGGCAAATGAGCTAACAAATACAGTTGACCTTGGAACAACACAGGTATGAACTACAATGAGCCTACTTATACATGGATTTCATAGTGCTGTAAATATATTTTCTCTTCCTTATGATTTTCTTTATTTTTTTTTAAGATTTATTTGACAGAGAGAGCGTGCACAAGCAGGGGCGAGGGGCAGAGGGAGAGGGAGAAGCAGGTTCCCCGCTGAGCAGGGAGCCCGATGGGGGACTGGATCCCAGGACCCTGGGATCATGACCTGAGCCAAAGGCAGACACTTCACTGACTGAGCCACCCAGGCGCCCCTCCTTATGATTTTCTTAATAACAGTATTTCTTTAGTTTACTTTATTGCAAGAATATAATGTATGATACGTACAACATACAAAATACGTGTTAACCAACTGTTTATGTTCTCAGTAAGGTTTCCAGTCAACAGTAGGCTATTAGTAGTTGGGTTTGGGGAGGAGTCGGCGTTATATATGGTTTTCGGCTGGGCAGGGGTCTGGCACCCCTAGCCCTCGAATTCTTCAAGGGTCAGCTGCACTACCTAGGAGCAGCACAGGTGCTTTCTCTCTGAGAAAGGAGATGAAAGCATGGCGTCACGGGACTGCTTGTTGTGAACGTGGGCTGTGAATGTTATGGATTCATCCTTTAGGGGCATGGGGTTTAAGAGAGCACATAACCAAATGAAAGTGGAGAATCCCAACCCCATGGATCCCCAGGGAAAGGTTAATCTTATGCCAATGCCAGGTGGGGCTGCTGTCTGAGCCAGTTGTCAGGACTCTCAAAGGACTCAAAGGGTGAGGTGGGGGTCATGGGGCCATGGGGAACTGGGTAGCCGTCAGCCCACGGCTTACCCCCCTTTCCCTGGCCTCACCATCAAATGACGGTAGGACATTTAAATAATTGCCTTAGCTCTGATGCTTTCAGTACTCTCCTGAGGACCCAAATAGGGGAGCACAGGACAGGGAATGAAACCTTATAAAAATGTCTTCGAAGTGTTTCCTCCAGCCCACAGCCAGAGATGGGTGGGCAGGTCCTGTGTAGAGGCTTTCCTTTAGATAGAGAGATGTCACCAATTTGAAATGGAGACAGGCTGAGCAAGAGAGAAACCTGGAAGTACCTGATAGTTTAACCAGAGAACAATGATTTACTTAATTTGCAGAAGCATAGAGATGCCTAGCTTCTTTGAATTTTATCCCATTTGAAGGCAAATCACCACTGACTTGTTGAAATCAACTATCATTAGTAAATTTCAGGGCTGTGTGGGAGGACAGCAGTGGAGGCAGAAGTCAACCTGCCTATGCCATGGAAAGAAATGAAGGTAATTTCCAGAACCATAGGTAATGCACAGACGGGCTACTTCATGGTCATTGACATGTGCAAGAGGATGTGCGACCTCCTGGACGGCTCCCATCATGACTGTGATTATATAGCATGAGGCCAAATTGCTCAAATCGAGGGTTTTTTTCCAAGTAGAACAAGAAAGACCAGGGTCACAGCGGAGAGGGGAATTCTCACAGCACCCAATGTGCTCTGATTCAGGAAGATTTACTCAGTTCAGTGAGCGCCAAGCATGTACCCAGCTTTCCTGTGTGTTATCGCCCTCGGGAGAGGCTGTGCCCTTGTTTTGTGAATGGGAACACTGAGGCTTGCGCAGGGCGAATGACTTGCCAGGATCACACAACTTGGGTGATTAATCTGAATCTGGGGCTGTCCGCTCTCCATCTAGGATGTTTCCCCACAGAAGAAAATAGGTATTTTCTGCCATGGGTGTTCTCCGTTAGAGACCAGCCAGCGACCGTGGGACTTTCCAGATAAAATGCACAAGGGAGTCATGGTGGCAGGGCCCGGAGCAGGGCCACAAGCCTTCCCCTCAGAGTCACTAGCAGAGGTGGAACTTGCAGGCGAGGCTACCAGCGTGACCTTCCGGAGCCCTGCGCTAATAGATCACCTTGTCAAATCAGGAACCAGCCGTCCCTGGGGGTGCTGGTCTCCTCTTCTTAACCAAGACAGATTGGATTTCCTGTTGCCCACAGACCTGAGGACACATCCTTCCCACCATGAAATCTGTTGCTGCCCCTGGGTCTTGGGCGATTTTGACTGACAGAGTCTCTGATTCATTTGCCTCCCTGCCCCCCGGGTGACTTGATTACCCTGCGCACATCTAGTCTCTCGTGACGGCCTTCCTAAAAGTGTCTCGTAGAATCTTTGTATAAAATTTAAACATCGTTAGAATAATACATTCGCAGTGTTCAAACTCTCAAAGATGAAGAGGGGACAGACAGCAGGCTGTCTCTCTGCCCAGTGGAGGCGGGGCCCGAGTCTCCATCCACTGGGATGCATGGGCGCGCTCCATTCGTTCCTGTGTTTTACACAAATGAGAGTACCCCGTCTCTGTGCTTTCCGCTGGCCTTGTTCTTTTGGCTGGCTCGTTTGGGTTTGGCTTTAATTTGGTTGTTTTACTCTTGCGGCTCCTTCAGGATTATCAGGAATAGTTCATCCTGTCAGGATTAACAGGAATAGTTCAGGATAGGTCCCGGATTAGGTGAGGTCTCCGTGACAGACCTCCGAGATAGACAGCCTCCCAGAGACCACCCCCACCTGAGAGAGTGGAGGTGGAGGAGGGGGACTTCCCGGGGCCAAGCGACAGAGCACAAAGCCGAGTCTTGGCCTCGTGCCTCCTCTCCCAGGGTTCAGCCCGTGGACTGTGCCAATGGTTTGTTTCATGGCAACAAACTCCTGCTGGAGAGATTGCCCAAATCATCAAAGTGGGCAGCAATGAGGCACCCGAGTCTTTGAGTATAGACAGGCACGTGGAAAGGGACAGCCCCCACCCCCTGGAATGTGGGAACACCGATCCCCTTGCCAGACCGAACCGCCCCACACACACCCTGCCAGACCTGCACACATCTGGTCTTACCTCTATACTCTTTTTTCAACAAGCTGGGGTATATTTAGCCTGGAGAACAGACAAGCAGGACAGAGGCTTCTGGCCCCCAAAACACTGTGTTTAGAATGTGATTGCACAAGGGAAGGGACAGCAGGAGAGATTTGGAAACAGTATCCAGTATCAGAACGAGCCTCAGCTGCTTATGAGGCCATTTCCTGGGAATTATCTCCATGTCCCAAACCCTGCGGGTAGCAGGGCTAGAGTCATTCCCAGGGAACAGAGGCGAAACCCTTGGCTGCCCAGCTAGTAAGGTGTGTGAGTTAGACTTGGGTGCTCCCCTCCACGCTTGGCCTTGCCCTGGGCTAGCATGCAGGACTGGGGACAGGTTGCAGAGCCACTCACTTTTCCAGGCGGGGGTGATGAGGAACACCCGAATTCCCCCTGGGCAGCTCCTGGGGTCAGGGCAGGGGCTCAGCCTGCTAGGAGGGTAATCTACTAAATGATCTTCTCTGCCCCTTGCCGGGAGGTTGTCCCCTGGGATCCAGGGTCAGGGATGCAGGAGCCAGCCCAGAGCTTCCAGATGCTTCCACTCCCCATCAACCTGGCCCTCGGTGCATGACCCTCCCTGTGTCAGTTCCTTTCCGCCACCACCCAGTAAGGAGAGAAAGTCATTCCCAATTCACAGACGAGAACATGAGGCCCATTGTCTTGCTCAAGGTCAGCTTGTGCCCCAGCCCTGGCCGGCGAGCAAGGCAGGATGCTCCCTTTCACCCCAAAGCATGCCTGCCGTCAGCTTTGCTTGACTTGAGCTCATTCTCATCTGCTCGTAGTCACTGGGCTCCAGAAGGCCCTGGGGACAATCTGGGGGCTGGGGGCGGAGGGGAAACAGGAGGCAGCAGGGGAAATTGCCACTCTTTCACACTTGCTGTAAAGTTAGACCCAGGGACCAGGACTTAAACTACCGTCCTGAACTGGCCTGTGAATCTGGCCTCTGTGATGAGCCTGGGGCCAGGGGGCGGGGTGGGGGGGCGGTGTTACCTCTGTCCTACAGGTGCCTGCACCGTCGGAGCTGGGGGTTCAGACTTCTAGACGCTTGGCATTCAAGGAACGAGTCATCTCTCCAACACATCTTTGGGGAGCCCCTGCGATGCGTCAGGCACGGGGCAGACAGCGGGGAGCACCGGCTGCCTCCTCCCCAGCTCGGCTTACGGGAAAGGCACAAGGCACTTTCTAGTCTCAGCTGGCCTGAGGGTGCATTCCTCCACTACCAACAAATTCTGGGCTGAGGGCGCCTGGGTGTCTCAGTTGGTTAAGTGACTGCCTTCAGCCCAGGTCATGATCCTGGAGTCCCGGGATCGAGTCCCGCATCGGGCTCCCTGCTCAGTGGGGTGTCTGCTTCTCCCTCTGACCCTCCCCCCTCTCATGCTCTCTCTCTCATTCTCTCTCTCAAATAAATAAATAAATAAATAAATAAATAAAATCTTTAAAAAAAAAATTCTGAGCTGACCCTTGCACGGATGTCA